CATTCCCGTATTCCCCCATTCCCGTATTCCCCCATTCCCATATTCCCCCATTCCCGTTCCCTATTTTAAAGATAGCCTCCGGACGATGGTATTTTATCTTCCCACCTCATTCCGAAGTTCCTACGAAAGCGTTCCGAAATGCGAAGAATTCCGGAAACTTCCGGTGGATGTTATTTTTAGGGACAAAACCGCAGCACCGCAAGAGACCGACTCGCAGGCTCTGTCGGAACGCCCTTGACTTTGTAAATTAATTTTGAAAATAAAACGCTCAGTAGCTCAAATTCACGTTGATAAAACGTCCATTTTTCACACTGGAATCGCCTGTTTGGCTGTGAAATATGTCCAAGGAAAAAGACACGGAACGACAGTATAAACTGGTCGTCGTTGGAGGCGGTGGTGTCGGAAAATCGGCGCTGACAATACAGTTTATTCAATCCCATTTCGTGTCCGATTACGACCCTACGATCGAGGATAGCTACCGAAAACAATGTGTTATCGACGAACGAGTTGCACATTTAGATAGTAAGTGATCTTATTTTCCTCCTAAACTATACTACGTGTATACATTTAGATGTCTTCTAGCTAAACTAGACGCCAGAATAAAAATCGGGGATAGAATTCGAGCCAAATTAGTCATTTTGTTTGGCGAATATATCGAGGAATGTAGCCCAACCCCAAGCCCCGATTGAAACGTGCCGTAAAAGGACGAAATGTCAGCCGTGGTAGCCTTATTTCTGTTGCTATTTATTGTGGGCAAATTTTTTCCGGTAACATTCAAAGTTAGATACCCTATTTTGTATTCATAAACTATGTTATTTCATGGGCTTTTATCGGCTGGAGAATGCGCTCAAAATATAATATTCGCGCTCAAAATGTTACTGGTATTGGATGGCTTTTTCCGCGAATATGGCTTGTGTTAATAGTCGATACCGAAACAGGGTTTCGTTTATCTTGTTTCCTGATCGTTTGATCTTCCAGTCTTTCTTGGTATTTCTACACAGTAGAATAAGTTTTACATCATAATTACAACCGTAAGCTGGGGTGGGGCCTCTGTTCTTTTCCCAATTAGAATTGAATATTTTGTTCGCGAACTTTGCTGTTCGTCTGTTTTGAAGCACCGCCAAAAGACCCGATCTAAGAATGCACCAAAGCAAGCCTTTTGTTCATGACAACTCATTTCCCGTTCTGCTTTACCCTCACAGAATTTTGAAGTGTTATTTTGAATACAAAGTAGATTTTTCGCCCATATTTATATAATGCCCTGTGGCAAATGGTTCTATTTTGTAATATTATGTTCCATCGAATGTTACATTTTGTTCTAAACCCATTTGGAACAAAACGTGATGTTTTTTTCGAACATATTACTTGACCAGAACTTGCTAAGCCGTATGTAAACAGTACGAAAAGCACTAATCAATTGATTAACATAAATAATACAATTATATGTTCATAGTCTATCTACAGCATAACAGATGTCTCTTTAGGGCATAAATATTTGAAGCATTAGTGTTGTATATTGTGCTGTGTGAAAAATGGCTCGCATATTGCATTTCTGCATTGAAGAAGGGTCTCTTTACGGTCCACGAACCATCGGCCTGCGTGCCCTACTTTATTTTCTTACCTGTCCAACGGCAGACGATTTTACTCGTCAAGAGAGAATGCTGGCATTCGATGGGGCTGGCATTGATATACAAATGATAATATCACTGATAGGTTAGCAGCACAAGCATGTGATATTAAAGCTATAATTTCTGCCATAATTTCTGACTGCCTTTAAGGAAATAGCTCGTTACTTGCAGGAAATGACTTGTGTGCATTGCAGACTCTTGAGACTGTGAATGTGACAGCCAGTCCTGTGCATATACGTATTCGTATTCACTGTGGGTGATTCCAGCTGAAGACAAAATTTTGACCCAGGCAAGAAGAACGAAACCATTACCATAGCTGGAAAGAGCATGTTAAAATGAGTAAATTGCAAAGTTTGGTTGCGAATTGTTGTAAAATGCGGAGAATATAGCCCTGTGAAGTTCGCAGATTTTGTATATATTTGCAGTACACACAAGAAAAATAACCACTTTTGAGCCGAAAGTGGTTATTTTTACCGCACGTAATGCAAATATATACAAAATTTGCGAACTTCACAGGGCTGTATTTTCTTCATTTTACAACATTTAATGACCAATCTTTGTGACAGTTTTACTCATTCTAAGATGCTCTTTCAAGCTGTGCTGTTGGATTTCGTTCTTCTTGCCTTGATCAAAATTTAGTCTACAGCTGGAATTACCATTAAATACGATGTACATATTAACACTCTCCCCCTGACGAGTAATATCATCCGACGTTAGACAGAGTAAAATAATAAAGTAGGGTGCATCTGGGCACATTGCCACTTCAAGGGTTAATCTTTGCGCCAAACTTCCTTCGGAAAGAAGTTTGGAACATTGACTGTAATGGCTAGCTTTGATATTTAAAATTGAGCGCCAGTGCTCTCCCGTTGACAAGTAAAATTGTCTGGTTTTAGACAGAGTAAAATAATAAAATAGGGCTCAATTATGTGCAATGCAACTTCATGTGTTAAGAATATAGTAGGAAGAATAAAATGCAGTAATTTAGGGCACATACAACATAATTCATTAACTGAAAATATTTGTTTGCTTTTAGTTCTTGATACTGCTGGACAAGAGGTTAGTAGCTTGAAAGACAATTAAAAAATGCAGGCCTTAAAATATCGGTTGGTCATGGACGTTGTCCAACCCATTTGTGAAATTGTCCAATGTAGAGAGCAAATTGGTGTCCAACATAATTGTAACTTTGTCCAACGTCAATCAAAATGTACCCTAGTCCAGGACTAGAGGCACGTATGTTAAATGGAGAATCAGAGTAATGTATAAAAAGTGAACTGGAAATGTGTAATCAAGTGCGGGGTTTTCACCGTGGGGTTCAGAAATTCATTGCCAAGATTCAAATAACTTTTTCAAATTGTGCTGGTATTAATTTGTGTCTGCATTCATACTTATTTCCAAGCCAAACTTGAACTCAAAGTCTTTGGGACATCACAATACATATGTCTGACCGAAACTCAAAGTCATCGAACATTTTGTCAGACTGTTCTGACTGACCAACATTTTAAGGCCTGAAAATGCGTTGCTGTTTATTACATCCATAACGATTATTATTTTACAAAGATAATTTAATTATTGCATGAAATTTCTGCAGGAATTCAGTGCTATGAGGGAACAGTACATGCGAAGTGGTGAAGGATTTTTATTGGTATTCTCACTAACAGATAGGGCAAGGTAAAACAATGTACAAAGCCTGGGAATAAACGTCCGGTCATGGTCATTGACTGGTACAAATACATGCAAATCAGAGTCGGTGCTTCAGAGATTAGTCCAAAAACCATGAGACAAATTTTCGAAAAGACAAGACATCTTGAGAATTCAATAGATGATTCAAAACAAGACGCAGGTCGAGACTGTAAATTTTTGACTTTGTTTCAAAGTCATCTTCAGACAGAATGAAATATATATATATGTGTTGTAAAGTATTGTATTTCATTCTGTCTGAAGATGACTTTGAAATAAAGTCGAAAATTTACAGTCTCAACCTGCGTCTTGTTTTGACTCATATATTGAATTCTCAAGATGTCTTGTCTTTTCGGAATTTGTTTTTTACTTTACAAATACATGATTTCTAGTGTTTTTACTGACAGAACTTGGATTGTGTCCGTCACTTTGTCCAGTTTGCATTTATTCAGCATTTCAACCCTAAAAAATTCCTTCTCTTAATAAATCACTCAAAATGTCCTGCCTTTTCCCCAAATTTCCTTCCATTTTTGAGAAAATATACAAAAGTAATTGAATTTCCCTGTTACTCAAAGTCTAGATTTTAGCTTAAAAGCAAATTATATCAAATTATCAGAAAACTTATATGTTATTATTTCTATACCATAAACCTCGGAATATAAATGAGGAAGGCAGCCAACCTAAATATAAGCCCACTTGTTTGTCACTATTGTTTATCTCTACCACTATTAATCACTATTATTACTATGCTTAACACTTGTTTATCACTATTACTATACTTGTTTACCACTATTACACTAACACAAAAGATTGTCCATGAATAAGCCCTTGTATAAGCCCATCAAAAATCGCTTACGAAAGAATATAAGCCCAGGGCTTATAGTCAGAGGTTTACGGTATACAGTATTAGTAAAATATTATTTCAACAAAATTAAAATGTTAGCAAAAGATGCAAATCTCTAAATACCATTGAACATATATATGTAACCATATTTGTATCCTATGTTTTTGACTGACAGGTATGTTTTTTTTTTCGTGACAGGCACACATGCAAATTGGTGCTGGTCATTTGAAAGGCAGGCCCCAAAAAATTATTTCCAGGCTTGCTTGAAAGCCTTGAATGTACTAGTTGTGTATGTCTGTCTGATTACTTAGCTACCTGTCTGTATTGGTTATGAAGATCTATTAAAGAAGTTCTGCTGGATGAAATTGATAGACAGAAAGGGAAAAACGTGGTTATAAGTTAGTTCAGTGCCACAACATTTTAAATTATATTTTTCTAGAAATACAAAAATACAATTTTTTTGTACACTCTGTGCTAAGTTCATGCTCTGCTGTAGGAAGTGCATGCGATCGTACTTATCTGAAATTCTCGGCGACTATGCCAAGCTGATTTCGGCGTACAATCGTTTGTCCGTACTCCTGTTTTTTAAGCCCTGATACCCTTTTAAAATAAAAGGTTCATTCATTCCTGTCTAAACTGTTTTTCTCTTTTATAGTTTTGATGAAATCAATAAATTTTACAATCAAATATTAAGAGTAAAAGACAGAGCAGAGTTCCCCATGATAATCGTGGGCAACAAATCAGATTTAGAACGAGAAAGAGTGGTAAGATACAGTACTTGGACTGTCTATCCCAAAATGAATTTTGAAAAGTAATAGTGTGTTTCAACAGTTCTGCACAACGACAGGACATGGTTTTTGTAATAGAACCATTTTATACTTTTAGTTGGGAAATGCATAATAATATCCTTGAAAAAATGTTTCTATTTTAGTTTTAACATGTTTGTTTATTTACTGCTGGGTCGAAAAATTGGGAAAACCCCAGTGTTTTTTCAAAACCCATTCAACCGATGTTGTTCTATGCAAAAACCTGAAAAAAACTGTTTGAATCTCGAGTAATGTCGAAACAAAATTGCCCCTTCCTCAAAATCAACAGTTTTTACCCACAACTGCCTGTTCAATTTCTTTGCTTATTATTTAACTTTTCCATTAAAAATTGAAATTTAATGTCTAGGTTTCGTCAGGAGAGGGTAATGAAACTGGCAGACAACTGAAGGTACGAATTTCATCCAACTACCTTTACTGCAAAAGGAAAATAATCCTAATTAAACAAAGTAAAAAGCAAATTCCGAAAATACAGGACATCTTGAGAATTCAATATATAATTCAAAACAAGACGCAGTTTGAGACTGTAGTTTCTCAAACTGCGTCTTGTTTTGAATTATATATTGAATTCTCAAGATGTCCTGTATTTTCGGAATTTGCTTTTTACTTTATTTTTTTAAATTGTCGGCTGGTCATGGTTTTTGGCCTAATTAAACCATTACATCGTATTGTGCCCCAATGCACTCCACTACACTATTTTACTCTGTCTAATGCCAGATGATTTTATGCTTTAAGGGGGAGAGTACTGGCGCTCAATAGACAATTCCCATTATAGACTAATTTTAAAACTAAGCAAGGAGATGCAAATAAATCACCACAGCTAGAAAAAGCATACTAAAATTAGTAAAATTACAAAATTTGCTTGCGAAATGTTGTAAAATGTGGAAAATATAGCCTTGCAAAGTTTGCAAATTTTGTATACTTTTGTATTGCGTGCGACATTTTCGGCCTGAATGTGGTAGAAATTTCCGCAAGCAATACAAAAGTATACAAAATTTGCGAACTTTGCAAGGCTATACTTTCCTCATTTTACAACATTTCGCAACCAAACTTTGTAATTTTACTAATTTTTGTATGCTCTTTCTAGCTGTGGTGTTATTTATTTGAGTTTCCTTACCTAATTTTAAAATTAGTCCATAATGGGAATTGTCTATTGGTTAAATTTGTGATAGTATTTCAAATGCTTTTATTTTTTAATTCAGATTCCATATATTGAAGCAAGTGCAAAAACGAGAACAAACGTTGATGCTGCGTTTCACGACCTTGTCAGAGCGATAAGGTAAAATGCAATCTTCAACATTTCTCTACACCTCATAGGAAAGACCATGTTTATTTATTTTGGCAATGTTCTCTATGTATGTAGGAGGTGTCTCAATTAGGCTCTCCTGTGCCCCCGTTTTCTAGAACTGACTGCATAATTTGTCAATCGTTGCTAATGTGTTGCCATTATTTGATCTTTACGACTAAGAATAACAAAAAAAAACAGTTTTCGAATGATCTAGCTGTTCAAGAAATACATGTTTATAATATAATACGTAAAAATTGAAATGAGATCATTGAAACTTTTATGAAAGAGCGTGAATTGTTTTTCTGTTATGTTTACCCGTGGTAACAGCTGAACTCTAGAAAGTTCTGTTACATATTTTGATTTTTGAGCATCATACATAAATGGACCATTTGCATTATAGACTAAATTTTGATCTAGACAAGTCTAGACAAACATTTCATCACAGCTTGAAAGAGCATCACAAAATTAGTAATATTCCAAAGTTTCGTTGCGAAATGTTGTAAAATGCGGATAATATAGCCTTGCGAAGTTTGCCGTTTTTCAGTCATTTTGTAATTTGTATTACAAAGGGGAAATCGACAGCCCCAAAGGGTATTGGTCTGTCAATTTCCCCCGCGTAATGCAAAATGACTGAAAAACGGCAAACTTCGCAAGGCTATATTATCCGCATTTTACAACATTTCGCAACGAAACTTTGGAATATTACTAATTTTGTGATGCTCTTTCAAGCTGTGATGAAATTTTTGTCTAGACTTGTTTAGATCAAAATTTAGTCTATAATGCAAATAGTCCATTGATGAGGTTAATTTCTGTGTAGAAAAAGTCCAAAACAGTTCTATGTGACCAAATGGATATTTAAAATATGTATCTATTTCATGGCATAGTGGTCATGTCAGATTCTTTCAGACACCATGATGGATCATGGAAACTATATATAGCCTATTCGGAGTGGCCTTAACTGCCCTTAATAAGATGTCCATTTTTGTATATGGACAGTCCACCATAATAGAAAAATTTGACTAACATTTGTTTTTGACCAATTTATGACATTACTCATTAGATATTGTAAAGACAAGTCACAATAACTCTTCTAGATAATTCTATGCTTAATTATCTTTGTATAGTTTTCTATGCTTCTGTAAACTACAGGACGTCTAAAAAAAGTGACTCACCCTTTTGTTGTAAACTGTAATAAACACCCAAACTTCATTAATTCTGGAAGTTTAGAATGCATTGTAATCGCACGAGCATGTTAAAATTGCATAAATTGTGCATGGAAATCGTAATTGAAAGTTAAAACGACTTAGAAATTGGTCCTGTCAGTTCGATTAAAAATGGTTTAACTGATTACAGAGCAAAGAGTTTTTACTGTTGTACGCGCTGAGTTAAATTAATCAGCACATAATCATTCATATGTTGAACGTTACCAAGAACTTTTCAGTGACTTCCCATGCATAAAATTCGATTCAATTGTGTTTGAGTGTGTCGGTTAACCGAGTCAAATCCGAACCCGAGTCAAATGTCCGAGTCACTGTTTAGTGGTCTTCGTAGTTCAATGACTTACGCCCGTATTCTAAAAGCTCATTCACATTCAATTTGAGCTTCTCTCGAGTGTCATTGCTGTTTTTGAATAGCCGGAGGTTAGTGCCGTACCTTACTATGTGACTACTCACCCTCCAGCAATTCAAAAACAGCATTGACACTCAGGGGAAGCTCAGATTGAACCTCCACTCATCGAGTGAGTGTGAGTGAGCTTTTAGAATACAGCCGTTACTACCCTAATCTTAACCCTAACCCTGCTCCTAACCCCACTCCTAACGTACCCTAATCCTATTCGACTGTGAATTCTATTTCGGGGTTTGTCTGTCGGTTAACCAAGTCAAATCCGTGTCCGAGTCAAATGTCCGAGTCACTGTTTAGTGGGCTGTGTTGTTCAATGCCTTAGTAAATCCTAACCCTATTCGATTGTGAATTTTATTCAATTTCGTATTTTTTTACGTGACTCGGGCGTTTGACTCGGGCTCGGAATTGAGTCGGACTTGGATTTGACTCGGCAAATGGATTTACTCAATTGTGTTTTCGCGTCCAAGGGTTCAGTGTATGACTCGGGCATTCAAATTCTAACAATATAAGGTGAATTTCGAAAGGGTCGTACCTTTTTTTGAGACACCCTGTATGCCTGGTTTCCATAGGGTCGTAACGGTCGTAAAAATAGAGTCACGATCTTTCTCAACGGCCAGTTTATAATAGTTTATACCTGTAAACCACATATAAATCATAAGTATTCTCTAGTTATAATCACTCCGCGTATTTTCAGTTCTAAAATGTTGTATTTCG